AGTTTAATATTTGTCCATCAGCTGTTTAATCGTATTTAGATAATTGTGTAAATACGTTGTTATAGCCCTTGCCCTCTCCACTGATAGAGCCTGAAAGCTTTAAACATTGGTGAGCGACAATTTTGTAGATATCCGTGTCCCTCCTTCCCCCACCTGGCCCCCAACCTCCTCCTTTCTATTTAAACAATCAACAAGGCCTTTAGTGATATTTTTGGTCATGATTTCAAATTGAGGAGAATAAATTCATGTTTAAAAAAAATGGAGGTCACTTGAATTATTAGGGAGCTCTTGGATTCTGGTCCTGACTGTTGGGTGTGTTAGAGGGTCTTATACTATGGAAGGCCAGTACTTAAGTTCTCTAAGGGAATCCTTACTTCCTTATCCTCTAGAATCAGCATCATGGGTCCCTTTCAGGTTATTTTCAGAGAACTTTTGGAGAAGGAAGGGTTAACTTCTCGTGACTGGAAGCTGAGCAATCACTGATAACAGATTTTGCTGTGGTTGGTTGATTTGGCAGAAAAGCATGAACAGTTTTAGTTTAGATGATTGAATAACCTGATTAGCATTGTTTAGGGGTGGTTTTTGTTGTTGTCAAAAGAACAACAAAATATTTTAAAATGATAATCCAATCACTCCTCCCCCTACCCACCCACCCCAGTTGATGAACCTTCTTGTGGGAAATAATTCTGTATGATAACCTGGCTATATCATTGGCTAGTGAAAATACCCAGTGAATATTAAAACTAAAATCAAAATCAACTGTTTTTCTAAAAATATTGTATATATATTACATACTTTTCTCTCTTTTGGAAAAATTTGTCATACTTTTAAAAGTAAACATTTTGAAGGACTATGTTACCCCCCCAATTTCTTTTTCTTCAAAATTAGGAGACATTCAGTTCTTTTTTAGAGTGATTTCAGAATATTCTAGCTATATCTAAGTTAAGCTTCAGAAAATTTTTTTTTCTCCTTACCTTTACACAATTAGAAAGGTTATAAATAATGTATTTGGCTGAAAAGGGAAGCTCAGCCTGTGGCAGATGGTATCATTCTAGAGTACTGGGGTGTCTGTGAAGATGGCACCATTTCAGAGCAGATCTTCACCAGACTCTGAAAGAGAACTGCAGGCCCCTCGTAGGGAAGTGATGTATGCTTCATGGATCTTAGGAAAGCTTACGTGTCGGTGCCGAAAATGAGATTATTGGGCTTACCTGCAGAGTGTGGGGATATGTGGCCAATTTAGGCAGCCTATCAGTATTCTGTCTCAGAAAGTCCAAGCTATGGTCAGATCATGGGTAAGTATACTGAGGTGCATTTGACTTGAGATTTCAGTAGCCTGAGATTTGTATTAGGGGATTCTGTTCCCACTTCCCCCCAGCACCTAAGGTTTACACAGAGTAGCCATTCAGTAAGGAAACTCTCTTTGCAACTAGTGCCCTTTTCCAGATGCCTTTGATTTAAATAGACTACAAGAGAGAATTGGAACTACTTAGCCACAGAGTGCTATAAACGCTTAGCCATCTTTGTACGGGCGATGCTCTGGAGAACTTGGGATAATGTTTCTTGCAAGTTAGGGAAAAGTCCTTAAAACAGCTTAAGTTTGACTCTCTTGGCATCTCAAATGATTTTTAAAAGGAGGTAAAGTTGGCAGCTACATTCATGTTAACTTTGAATTTAAAGACTTTTCTGATTGTCTCTTTGTAATGACTTCTGGTCTTCAATTTCCATAAACCTGGTAGCTTCTCCCAATAAAAATACAAGCACTCTGGAAGACTGAAAATGAGCTATTTCTTTGGTGATTTGCTGGACTAACAGCATGTTAACACTTAAGATCATCCTAAATAATGAAAATTTGTAGCTGGTATTCCTGAGCAAATAGTTTTTGCAGAATGGGTGTTTTAAAACCATTTTTAAAAGGGGAATTCCATTCTGTGAAACTGTCGTGAGGGACTTTGTCTTACTCATGTTCAGCTCTGTTGAGTTTTTTGTTGTTAACACCTAACACTTTCACTGCATTTATTATCCCAAGCATACCTCATGCCCTGGATATTTATTATTTAAAAGATAATCTCTTGGCTGTTTGGAAATTTGATCTTACCATCAAAACATAATTTGGAATTTGCAGGCATCACAATGAATCTTGTGGCAATAGATTATGACATCATAAACTCAAATTAGAACTTCATTGCAAAACATAAAAAAGGGGATGAGAAAGTTCTAATATAAACAGAAAGTTAGAACAATAAGTGTAATTATTCTAGTGAAAATAGAGTGAATTCTCAGTGCCTTGCTCTAAAGAGAAGCAATAACATGGATAAATACAAAGGAAAAACTCAATCACATCAAATAATTTTAAAAAATCTTTTGATTTGCCCTATTTAATGCTTTGCTTAGGCTAATTTCAATATGCCTTTATATTCCCTATGCATACCAATTGAAGGGGAGAAACAACTAGAAAGCTTTATTGGCAAAATCAGTTTGATTAAAAATTTTCTGCAGATAATCTGCAAAGAAATAATCCATATGTGGAAAAGAACTGAGTGTGTATGGGGTTACACTCCAAATTGACCTGATTTTGCACATTTTATGACCATAATAAGAATGTACTGTGGGGCGTATATGTATATATATATATATGTGTGTGTATGTGTGTGTGTATGTGTGTATTATATATACATATACACACATATACATATGTACACACATACACATGCATATACGTACATACATATGTATATATAAATATATACATGTCCATATATGTGTGTATATACACATTTTATTTATATATCCATATACATATATATGTGTGTGTATGTGTAGATATAGATATAGATACACACACATAGTAAACTGTTTGTTTCAGGACCAAGGGCAAGATTTTAATAGATTAAGCATTTGGCATTTAGAAAAATACCTACGTCCAATATAGATAGACTGAAGCATAATTTTTAAAATCTGGAGCTTTACAATGAATGGTTAATATTCACACATGCTCTACTGCAGTGGTGATATTGGTATTCAAGAACTTACTTGTATGTCTGGATGGGAACATATAGAATTTTTTTTAAAAAGTTGGACCTGAGCAGAAGAATATTATCTGTTATCCATTGGGAGAAATCCTCATTATCCATAAGATAGTCTCAATAGTTTTATTAGTGTCTGAGTATACTGGTCAATTATTCCAATGGAATAAGCTTCATTGATGCTGATGGATTGTTAACTGGATCAGGGAATCTTTGGGCTCTAGTTTTGGCAAATTCTATAAGACTTTTTTACAGTGGTGATTGTAGCGGGCTCTTAGTTAAATTGCATGCCATTGGATTTAATGACAGCATCATGAGCACTTTAAGAGGGAGAATTTTAGTGGAATAAAAATGTAGAAATGGATGTAAAAGCAATGAGGAGCAGACACGAAGTTTGTCACAGGGTCCCTTTACTAGGCTATTTCTGTTTTGCAAGAGTAACCTGACTGTAGCCTATCTTTTTAGTCAAGCTCTTGTAAGAATCTAAAAAACCATTTACATATTACTAGTCTGTATGTACTGTAAAACTAACACTGATAATGAATTTCGGTGGAGTCAATAGCCAGAATAGCACCACTTTAAATTATGAATAGCTTTAAAGCAGACAGCGATAGAAAAATATTTTGTATCTTTGTCCCCAAACTGGCTTTTCTGGTTATTAACTGTCCATAGAACAATGTTTCTATTCTGTAAATTATTTCACCATAGTCCAACTAAAGTTTGAAATGCAAGCTTTTATACACAAAGGGTTGGATCAGGGAGGGGGAGAATAAATAATTGGAAATCTAATTATTTTTAAGACCAAATGGGAAATGTCTTTAATGTACTCACTATTGACTGGTTATTATGTGTGGGGTGGGGAGAATTATTAAATTTTTTTGAAAATGGGTCTTTTCATTGAAATTATAATGATAAGTTTCATTTTATTTGTTTAAAAAACTTTTTCCCTATTTTCAAAGTGGAAAAAAATAGTAAACTTTTCATTGACTTTTCTTCCCTTTCATGTTTTAGAAAATGGACTCTTTTTGTTTTCAGATAATTGATTAGAAAGAAAAGGAATATATTTAAAATAGTACATTTTTTCTTAATTTCAAATGTTTGTTAAGAGAGTTTTTATGGCCAGTCTAAAATCTAGAATCATGTTTTTTTTAATTGAATTAAATCTAATAATAAAAAAAAATTTCTCCTTCATACAGTGGTTTCCTGTGATTATTTTAAGTGCCTTATTATATGTAGTCATTCTGACTTTTTATAATAACAGTATATTCACTCCCCCATTCAACCCACTTCCCCCCTTCTTAGTAGGGCAGAGTGTAGGACAGGAAAACAGACCTATGATTTCTTTGATAGAAGAAACTCTCAAGTAAGAAAACCCTTTCCACCAAAGCAGGTCAGTGCATTCTATGCCACTTACAGTCTTAAAAAATTGTGCAGAGCACTGAGAGTTTAAGTTACTTGCCCAGGGTCACACAGCCAGTATGTGTCAGAGATCAGACTTGAACCCAGGTATTCCTGTTTTGAGGCAGGTTCGCTATCTACTACACCATCCTGCCTGTTCTAGAGGAACTGATTTATGGAAAATGAAGATAATAGCTCTATGCAACGCAGTCATAAGTTCTTGAGGTAGTAAGTATATTGTGGCTTTGCAGGCATAAGATGTATCTATAGTAATTTGGGCTCAATAGAAGTCTTTGAGTGAGAGAATCCAGAGATGCTATGTTGAAGTAAACAAGTCTACTGTTTGATAGCTTTATCCTTGTCTCTGCGGATTGTTTCTTTCCATTCCATTTAAAACAAATGTTTGATTTTCTGCTTAATGAATTTTAAGTTGAAGCCGTAGGCTAAAGGGTAAAAAAAAAATTGTTATGGTACTCAGATAATAAAAAAAAAATATGGTTTTAACAATTGAAATAATTTCTGTGTTCCAACTTGTGCTGCTATATATTACAAATGTTTTCCCCCCTTTTCATGCAGAGTATGATTTCATCCATTGTGAACAGTACTTACTATGCAAATGTATCAGCAGCAAAATGTCAAGAATTTGGAAGGTGGTATAAACATTTCAAGAAGACAAAAGATATGCTGGGTAAGCAGGAAGCGTTGTAAGGGGGCCACATACCATTACATGTCATTGGGGGTGAAGGGGGGGTTGCACAATCATATCAAAAGCCAGCTATGTTGATTGCCCAATTATACATCAATTTAGTATGTTTCTTTTTTTTGGGGTATGAGTATAATGAGATAATTAAATTCAATAAATGTTTGTGTTTAAATCAGCCAAACTGACTTGGTTGTCAGACATGCAGGAAATCATGGAATGAGGAGGGAAGCTGTCATTTTGTAACATCTCTATAAAGACCTAACAAGGTCTTGAATAACTAATATTAGATATGATCTCTCTCAGGATTAAGTGGATTTTTTTGGTGGAAAATTGTGTGATTTTTACAATCAATTTGAAAGAAATAATTCATGTTTTTATGGAGTGCCTATCACAAGGGTTATTTAAGCAAGCAGATAATTTTGTAATTGACTTCACCCCAACGATCTTCAGGAATAAATCACTGTGCTGACCAATGACTTCCCACCTCACCGACTTCTCAGTCACACACCCTTCGCAATACGTGATTTTAGCTCACAATATTAACATTTGTTATGGAGAAAACAAATAAAAAAGGATTATAAAGGATATATAAGAATAAGGTTTCAAGCATGACAGAATTAAGATATGTATTTGTTTTACATAAGTATTTGCCTTTTATTAGTGTCTTCTATTGATAGTAATAAATCATATTTATCTAATGCTCATAATTAGTTAGTAAGAATTTTGTAAACAATTATTACATGCCAGGCACTGGGCTAAGTGCTAAGGATAAAAAGGCAAAACCAGTCCCTGCCCTTGGTAAGCTCAAATTCTAATGGAAGAAGCAATGTGTCATTAACTAAGGACATACGTGATATATAGAATAAATGAAATTCTTTCTTCATTAAAAAATCTGTAAGGTTAGTAGTGTATTATTACCTCCATCTTATAGATGAGAAAGCTAAGGCTTAGAATTCTTTGGTGAGACTCCAAGGCAGGATGTGAATCCAAGTCTTCTATACTCCATGTCCTGAGCTCTTTCTAGAGTACCAGTCAGTCTCTCCAACTTATGAGGAAGTTGTCAGTGTTCACAAAATCAAACATTATTTTGAGATTGTGTTTTTATTCCTATTAAGAATCTCCCCTTTCACATACTTTTATATTCTCTTTTAAAAATTATGTTAATGTTAAGTATGTGATATTAACCTAACTTTAGATATTATATCATGTTTGCAACCTATTTCCAGAGAGCTTCTGCAAATTTATTCTATTAACAAAAACAATTATTTATATCTTTTTTAAGATTTTAGGAAGCAGAAGAATCTGAATTTTGAGCATGTTTTAGCTTTTAGTAGTTGGAGAAAAACCATCCATCTACCAAAACAGATTCCTTGCCTTTTATAGCTTAAGGCTGTAATGAAGACAATGCATCACTTTTGTGATAATTGCTTGAATTACTATTCTATGTGAATGGCCCACTTGGGCTGATCTCTACATTTGGTTGTAGAAATGGAAGGTTTCTCTCCCCCATCCTTGGTTATAGTTTGCATATGCCAGTTAACTTCAGCAGTGTGATAAGTTTTTCCAAATGTAAAGTTTGAATATTTAGTGATAATGAGAAATGATGATTAAGACTTAGCTGGTATCTACACAAGGGAAGCATAGTATGGTATTTGGGGGAAAATGCCTATTTACGGCTCCATGTTTAGTTTTCACACCAAGGAAAATAAAAGCAGCATCTTCCCTATGGCAGAATGTTTGAAGCACATATAGCTGTCAGCCCCTGTGGGATACCTGGCCAGCGTAGAAGCTCATGGCCGAGCTGAGAGCGGGGTTAATGGCACCAGCATCACCAACTGCACTAAAATGACCATTTCTTTTTGGCAAAAATGATTTTGAGAGTAAATGAAAAAGTTTCACCCATTAGCTTCTTATAGAAATCATTCTTAGGAAAAACAAAACTTTTTAATGGGGACAGATAATCAGTTCTATGGCCCAATACCATGGAGACTCGAAGGAAGAATATACTGTAGAATCATAAGTGCGTAGGCTTTAAAGCTGGGTGAGGGTTTAAACATCACTTATTTCAATCTCTATGTATTATACTGAGACGCAGAAAGGGAGAGTGATTTGCTCGTGGTCACATGGGTTGATTAGATGATTGGTTGCTATTCTTCATTCTCAAAGAGGACCAGAATGACATCACCGTGTTGGGATTCAGTGTGTCCCACTGTGGCTGATCAGACCAATGTGAGCTCAGAAGGCTCTACCCAGGTCAAGCACAAGCAGTCTATGTGAACATTTGGGGTGGAGATGGTTCTAAATTTGCATATCACATGGGTCATAAATAGAAGAGGTGGGATTTGAACTCATGTCTTCTGGCTTCAAATTCAAGGCAAGTGAGCAGGCGCTTAATGAAACACCTGCTGTATTCCAGGCGCTGGGCTAAGATCTTGGGATATAAAGAAAGGGGGGTGTTTTTTCTCCCAAGGAGTTCACAGTGTGAGCTTTCACCAGGGAGCTCACCTAGGGGAGACAACATGCAAATAAATACGTACAAACAAGATCTACGTAGGGTATATTCAAGATACTCTCAGAAGGAAGGCAGTAAGATTAAGGAGGATTGTTTCTGATAGCCAGTGGGACTTTAGCTGAGATTTGTAGGAAAAGAGAGAAGCTGGGAGAAACAGTGGTCTTATTTCTCTTTTCCTAATATAATAATATACGTATATGTTATGACATACATGTATACATACACACATGTATGTATACATATATATTAGTCTTTCTTTATATCCCCAGTATGTTACCCAGTGCCTGGCACATAGTAGGAACTTTAAAATACTTGAACGACTGATTAAAGCTGTAAATTATAATCTTATCTCACTTAAATTTATCATCCCTATCCCTAAACAAATGGCTGTTTTTTGTAAGTCACTTGTTTAAATAACTTTATTAATATAAAGTGAAAAATTCAAGAGTCTGAAGCCAAAGTATGTCATCAATATTTTGAAAATAACAACAAACTTTGTTCTTCATCTTTTACTGTAGTGGGTGCATGTGTTATATGGGATGATTTGGTGGGGTTGTTCCAAATTTTACCTGGTTTTGGTTGTTGGAGAATCCATTGTGTTTCTGTTTTGGAAACCATAATGATTATTTATAGTCTACCTTGGATAGTGTTTGTAAAGCATTGTGCAAACTTTAAAGCTCTATATAAATGTGACCTCTTATTATTATAATTATTTTCAAAGAAATGGTGCTTTTTTCTTTTCTTTTTGGTCCACTGTAGTTGAGATGGATAGCCTTTCTGAACTATCCCAGCAAGGTGCCAACCATGTCAGCTTTGGCCAGCAGCCAGTCCCAGGGAACACCGCTGAGCAGCCTCCATCCCCTGTGCAGCTTTCTCACGGCAGCCAGCCATCGGTCCGGACCCCTCTTCCAAACCTGCACCCTGGACTTGTATCCACTCCTATTAGTCCTCAGTTGGTAAATCAGCAGCTGGTGATGGCTCAGTTGCTGAACCAGCAGTATGCAGTGAACAGACTCTTAGCCCAGCAGTCCTTAAATCAGCAGTACTTGAACCACCCTCCCCCCGTCAGTAGATCTATGAACAAGCCGTTGGAGCAACAGGTCTCAACCAACACAGAGGTGTCTTCCGAAATCTACCAGTGGGTGCGAGATGAACTGAAAAGAGCAGGAATCTCCCAGGCAGTATTTGCACGTGTGGCTTTTAACAGAACTCAGGTCAGTTTGGTTGAATTTTGAAAGATTCTCTTAGTTGTGCATGCCATATGTCCCTTCGCTTCCATTCTTGTGGTTTTCTCCTTTTGGACCATCTCTACCAGTGTGCTTTCTGTCAGTGTCCAAGCTGAAACACGAAATTTAGTTTAACATGACCTGCCATCCATGGCCATTCCTAATCGTGCTTTAGCAATGCTACTGCGTCTTCCATCCCAGTTTCTAATTCACATTGACTTCTTCACTGGCAGTGGGAGACCAGAAAAACAACTGTGAATAGGATCACATTCAGGGCCCATTCATGAATAGGTTGCTACCAAAGATGCAGGTATTAAAAGTTAGTATTAGGTATGTCTTTACGTCATCCCATGAATCATAGAAGGCAGTTGAGTGGCACAGTGGAAAGAACTCCAGGCCTGGAGTCAGGAAGACCTGAGTCCAAATCCAGTCTCAGACACTTACTGGCAGTGTGACCCTGGGCGAGTCACTTATCCCCTGTCTGCCTTAGTTTTCTCATCTGTAAAATGAGTGGGAGAAGGAAATGGCAAACCACTCCAGTGGTTTTGCCAAGAAAATCCTAAATAGAATTGCGAGGAGTCAGGCTAGACTGAAACGACTGAACAGCAATATAAATCATGGAATATTTTAAAAGTAAGGAAATTTCAAGCAATTGGGAACAACTCGGTTATCTTATAGGTGAAGAAATTGAAGTCAAAAGAGATTGTGATATTCCCAAAGTCACATGCCTAGTCATTGGCTTAGGTGATTTCTAGAAACAATTTATTAGATCAGTGCTATTTCCCCTGTATAACCAAGATCCAGTCACTTTCTTGCCGTACCTCACGGTTCTCTTCTGTAAGCGGGCTTAATAATTACTCTGCCTAACTCAAGGAATAGTTATAAGGAAGATGCTTTGGAAATCTCAAAATACTCCATAAATGTGAGTTATTTTGCATCTATACAAGGTGAACATGAGAAAAAAATAAATGTGATATGCTAGGTATTTTATTTCAGATTTGTTCTATAACATTTTTTTTCCAAGGTAGAGGTCCTGGAGAAGTACTAAGGGGCTTATAGAGACCAGCTATGATCCGCTGTTAAGTGATGGCAGTAGTATGGCTCATTAGCATAATAAATTAGCATGAGATAGTCACTCTCCTCAACAGGGTCATTCATAGTTGTGGTTTTTTTTTTACTAGCTATAGTATCTGTACCCCTCCCCCCCATACCTACCCACAGTTGCCTGGGACCCCATTGTTACCTGTTCTCCATGCAGCTTTTGCTGTTAGAATCTTTTCTTTCTTTGGCAAATCCAGAATAGACATTCTGTCAACAAACTTTGAACACTTTTATTTTAGTGAGGGAGAAGTGATATAGATATAGATATGGATATAGATATGGATATGGATATAGATATAGATATAGATATAGATATAGATGTGAGATAATGAGATAAAATGTTTTGAGAAACACTGAGCTAAATTGTTTTTAAACATAAGATCATCGGACCTCAACCTAGAAGGGCCCTTACAGTTCATCTTGTCATCCAACCATCTTAATTTACAGATGAGGAAATTTGAGCCACATAAGTTTAAATAACTTGGCCGAGATCACAGAGGTGGTTAAAAAGCCAATCCGGGCTTTGAACCCAGCTTTTCTAATTCTAAGTCCACTGCACTATGGCATTTTGAAATAAACATCCTTTTTTGTTTTTCCACTGCTGCCATGATGAAAAGTGGAGTTTTTGTTATAAGCATAAAAGGAAGGTAGTATTTAATGGTGGCTGGATCCAAGGAATTAGGTTCTTTTTAATATTTCTGATTTTAATTTCATTTTCCTGAGTCTACTTGACTCATTTTGTCTTCTTATGAAGTTATCCTTTGTGAGTGGTTACAATGCCAAAGTTCAAGGGGCCTCAAATAAGATAATTTAATATAAAGTCATTAGCAGAATTTGCATAACCAATTGAATCACAGTTGTGACTTTTTTTTTTACACTTGCCTTAACTTTTTCATTGTACCAATTCGTTCTAAGTTTTAAAGTTATCTGGCAACTTAATTTCATATCTACATATAATTAAAATAGAGTAGGCCTAAAATACTACTTGTTCCTACTGTAGGTAGCATTCTTCATTAGCAACAGTGACCAATTTATGCTACTTTTAATGAAGTACTAGACTCAAATTAAGCTCATATAGGTCTTGTTTACTTCATAGCTTATAGTCTAAACTAACATTGGCATGGATTAACATAATAAGACAAAGATATGTTGGTAATTCCAAAAATAGCACTTAGGATGCTAAGCGTTATTGAAGGTTTCTTGTGGTAAAGAGTACTGGGAGTGACTGGTAGAGTGTGAGATGGGGAAAAACATCCTTTATCAACACAGTTTTTACTCCGAGGGAGCACCAATGCTACCATCATTACTGGGAAGATTGACAGTGGAAAGTAGGTAGGGATTTGGTGTCATGTAGTATTTATATAGTAATATAAGCTTTGCAAAGCCCTTTAAATATGTGTGATCTCACTTCATCCTCACCACAACCCCGTGAATGAGGTGAAATTTATTAGCCCCATTTTGCAGATGAAGAAACTGAGGCACAGAGAGTTTCCTTGAATTGTTCAAGGCCCCACAACTGGTGTGTGAAGTAGAATCGAAACCCAGGTCTTCCCGACTCCCAAGTCTCATACTCTATCCACTGTACCACCTAGCTGCCTGGGTTTAAATCCCAAGCTCTACCATTTAATAAATGTGTGACCTTAAGTAAATTAGCTAACCTCTCTGGGCTCAGTTTCCTCATCTGTAAAATGAAGGGAGGATTGGACTGAATGATCTCCAAGGTCCCTCCCAGCTTCAGATCTTTGATCCTCTTTTTCTATTCATAGGAGCTGTTTGTGATAGAAAAAAAAATATGGGCTTTACTTGTGTGCAGTTTGAAGCACTTGAAAAACCAACTCAATGGCTAACGTCACATAAGAAGGAACTCTTTTTCTGAGAAGGAAAAGAAAGATATAGAAAATTTGGTACAGCTAGATGCAAAGCACTTTAATAAAAACCAACTTAATGTCTAACCCGTTTTATAAAGAACTATTTATTTTATTCTGGAATGACATGAAAAGTGTTTCAGTTAACATCTTCATTGCTGGCACAGGGATAGTTCTCAGTAAGAAATTGTTCTTTGACTGTGTTTGAAACTGTTCGTTGTAAATCATTTGCTTGGGTGTATTTTACCATGTCCTTCTATTTAAGTATGCAGTTTCTGAGACATAGTTTTTGCACACGCAAGCATGCATGTATTTTGGGTGGTCACACTTAAAAAAAACACAGCTGCATTTATTTTATTGATTATACATTCATATGAATGCATGTAGTGTGTTTATTTCAAAGTGTATGCATTTCAATAAAAGCAGGTGCAGAGTGTTAGTGTATGGTGTTAGCATAGAGTACTAAAATACACATGCTAATGCATATGTATATATCTGGAGCTCTGCACAGTTAAATCTCACATCACACATTTGTGTGCACTTACTATAATGTGCAATTCCAACTTAAGTTTTTTTAAATAGTGTAAAATATGTACATATAAATGCAAAGCTTTATGACATAATCAGACAAAGACACTGTTGTCATGAAAGCAATCAGAAGAGTAAGGAACAATGGTGGTCTGGACATGAATATTGCTGGTTGTTTCTGGATGGTGGGCAAGCATGTATTACAATAGTTCCCCCAAATTAAAAATTAATAACATCACATGGAGGGGAGTGGAGAGGTACCTGGTAGGTGTAAACAGGCCACAACCAATGAGAAGCTTCAAAGAAGTTATGGACTAAAATGTGTCATCAAGGAAATGTTTGGTAGAAAAAGAAGACAGCCTGGTCATCTGGCAAGGATGAGGGATGACAGAGTACTCCATTGGTACTCTCAATCAGGAGAAAGGAAGGAAGGCCTCTAGAACATGAGGTTGGCCCACTGTAAGGAGCACGTGGGAGTGTTCAGACAACGATCATGTTTAGAATGGGCAGGCATGGACAGACTGCAGTGTGCACCATTGAACAAGACTCCCAAATTGATGAGATTGATCTCAGAGCCATTTGAGTATTTGCCCTGGGAATTTCATATTAACTACGTTTGCATGCATCATAATACATCAGCATGAGCCTCACAGGACCATCACAATCATAGGAACATCCCTCCTCCCCCCATTACTCAAGATTGTTCTGCAAATATAATTCATTTGTGGTCAAGTTTTTTTTAAATAATTTCTTAAGTTTTTAGATGCTTTTTGCATTTGGTGGAAATATGTTCTTACATGAATTACTCTTGAAGAGACTGAATCTCAACAGAGGCCAGTTATTTGTGCCTGTTTCATGAGGCTTTAGTAGAGGCCAAAATATTTTTTTAAATTTTTCTAAAGCTTCGAAATAAACACTTCCCAGCTTTGATATACTCCTGGAAAGTTGCTATTTAAGCATAGAGCATTCAGCTTTTATATGTGTCACATGTATCATACATGTATGACATATCTATGTAGCAGTGAGATTTTTATAATAAAACCCAGAGTTTACTTGGATCCCATCCTCAGGCCTTTTCCTTTTTTTTTTCTTTTCCTTTTGTCTTTGGCACACTTTATTTTCCAGTAAAATGAAGAATGAAGATGGATTATTCAAAACTGATAACAGTAATGGACCATCATGCAATGTTTTATTGAATTTGAGTTCTGTAAATTATCTGGTGGAGAGAAATTTGCCTGCTTAAGTATAACAGAAATTGCCACTATGTTCATATAATTCTTTGCAGTGTAATTTAAGAAAAAGCACTATCCATATCGCTATTGAATCAAAGGTAAAAAGGTGCTATTCCACCACTATGACAGCTCTCCCTTTGCTGCTAAACGACATAGATGAATGTGGCTGCTTATAACTCACTTGGCAAAGGTCCAGGTGAGTGGGTGGAGTTAGAAAATCTTCTTTCACCTGGACATGTGATTTAAAATTCACTGCAAATGG